TGTTAATCCAAAATAACGTTCATATGTAAGAAAAAGAAAAGTGAATTAATATATGTGATGAAAATGGATTCTCTATACCTTAAACTTCTTGTCTTTGTGCCTCAGAACAAAGAGTGTTTGTCAACAAATGAAAAATAACACTTCATTTTAATAGAAGAAGAGAGAACTTAAATCGCAAACAAACAAACAAACAATTTAAGAGACAACTTACTAACCTTTCATTCTATTCATTCCCCCTAAAACTTAAATGGCAAACAAACAATTAAAAAGAGAACCTGAGTGTTGCTTATAGGAGAAAAAGTGATATATCAAATAGAAGAAGAAAAGGAAAATAGGAAGAAAAAAAATCACATTGATGGGGGAAACATTTAAGCACACGTAGACTAATGAATACACAAAAAGACAAAGATGGAACCATGCTATATTTGTATATATGGTTGTTAGTAAATACATAAGAAATAAAAAAGAGGATAAGCGTGAGAGTATGTTAAGGAGAAAGAGTGAGAAAGACACAGACCATATGTACTCAGCTATAACCTTCTCTGTTGTTTCGGAGATGTTAAGGTTGATAAGATCTGAGAGCAGAGACATGTTCCTTCTCTTTCCTCCCTCTTACTTTGTTGAATTATGTCATAGCTATGCATTTGCTGGACTTTTATAATGTAATTTCGTCCCATATAGATCAACTATCTCATCTTTTGTGTCTCAATGTATACCAATCTAGTAAAAAAACTGTTACGTAATAAAAAAGAAAATTAAAAAAATAGGAAATAACATTTTTTACATTATTTGTCAGTGTGATTGGCTTGAAGCATGGGGACAAGAATTTTTTAGTACATTTTATCCTTATTCCATCTCCTCCTATTTCTTACAATATTTTAAGCTTAAAAATATAATTTTTTTATAAATTAAAAGATTTAAGTGTTAATGTACTTTAATTTTTTAATGTTTTTTCTTATAATTGTCCTCAGGATAGGAGTCTTACTTTTTATAGTAAGGTCACCTAGTTGGAATTATTTTTTAATAAATAAGACTTTTTCAATTAAACAATTTATTAACAAAAATAAGTGACAATTTAATATGATAAGATAAGATTTGGGGATAGTAAATTAAAAAGTATATAAATAGTGAATCATTTACAATCATAAACGATTTATTTTTTATTATGACCAGTTGCTGATTGCTAAAATAATAAGGATTTTTATAAACTCACAAAAAAAGGTGTATAATTGGCAGGTTGCAAATAATGTGTAAGAACTTGTTTGTGGGAAATAATTAACTTATGTGTAGGATCGGTTTCGGTTTAATAAATGGGATTCATTATGTATATGATCGGTTTCTGGATACCATAATATGATCGAGTTATGTAGTGTCTTATTAGAATTTTTATTGAAATTAATATGAGTAAATTACACTCACACCCCTGAGTTTTAGTGAAATTATACAAATTACCTCTCACTTTTTTGTCATTACACGAACTACCCCTAATTTTGTATATTGTGTAGACAAATTCAAATAATATAGTATAGGAATTATTTAAACATTTCTTTGAAATTTATAATGTATTTTTTAATGACACGAAAATGATAAAGAAGCACTCGCTTTTGTACTATTTGAAGTGTTACACAATATACAATATTTTGTTTAACTTAATTATATTCATCACACCACTACAACAGACTTTGTATTTAGTGGAGGTTTTTTTTGCGATTAGTAACCTCCATAATATAAGTAGCGGAGGTTTCAAAAACCTCCACAGTTATGACTGTTAGAAGCGTTTTGTGGAGGTTTTAGAAAACATCTGGTATTGATAAATTTATAGGTTTATTAGTGGAAGTTTTTAACATCTACTATTTGAAGAGGTTTTTAACCTCCACTATTTGTTTTTTACAGCATTTATTATGGAGGTTGTAAACCTCCACAACATGAGGAAGTTTTTTTGTTTATCATGGAGGCTTTAAACCTCCACTATTTGAGAATGTTAATTGTGAAAAATTTCAACCACCACTACTCGAAATAACATATGGAGACTCACTCAAAGGTAACTATTATAAGTTTCTATAGGATTTTAACATCAATTTAATTTCATAATTTTCACAACTTTAATCTTATTAATTTATAATTATTATTTAAAATAAAATACTAAATACAAATGTTTTTAGCAATAATAAAATTTCATTACAAAAGAAGTAAGGTAGCATAACAGAGTTGAAAGAGTTATAATTCATCATTATTGTAAATCCAAATACAACATAAAATCTCAAAAAACTAATAGTGGTCTCATATGACACTTTAAAAACAAAATAATAAAAAAATTATTGTAGAAAAGAGGGGGAAAAACAGGAGAACAGGCAATCCCATGTAGTCATATCCAGGAGTTCTTGCATCTACTCCTATTTCTTGTTGCAAATTGTTGATCATATCCAGGAGTTCTTTCATGTAGTCAATAGTGTGACTAAGAATAGATGTTATGTCCATCTATGATAAATGAACATTTTAACAAAACAAATTAGAACTACATATAGCAAAGATTATAGTAGTTATGTATGACGCACAACTCCAAGATTGATTGATGAAATAGAATATGATCTTACCTATGGGCTGAGATATCAGAATATCTGCTTTCTCTGGCAATTCAACATCCTCAACTTTGCCTTTAATAACCTATATATACAAATATTACATAACACGTTGCACTGAATAACTACTAACGAGTACTAGTTACTTGAATTATGAAAAGTAACAAAATGAATGAATGAATACCTCGGAGGTCGAATAATGAAATTGATGAATTGCTCAATCATCTTTCTTATGCTTCTACATGTACCTCATCAAACTCAATTCTCAACAATCTTCAAAACTGAAAGATCCTTCCTTTGAAATGCATTTATCTATGCAATTAATGACTGTGAGATAATGACATATTTTGCATTAAAAATAATGAGTACTAACTAGTGCTACAAAATTATAATCTCAACTCCCAACCCAATTAAGTAATAATTATTATAATACTAGCAAGATACCCGTGTGGATGCACGGGGTGACATTTTTTCTGTATGCTTAAGAATACACGTTTTATATGTACATTCATATAGTTAAAACATACATGTTACTTGTGTATTTGTATGAATAAAAATGCATATGTTACTCGTGCATTCATATTGTTAAGAAGACACATGTTACTTGTGTATTCGCATGATTAAAAACACATGTTACTCATGCATTCGTATTACTAAGAACACATGTTACCCGTGCATTCGTATAGTTAAAACACACATGTTATTCGTACATTGACATTTTTAAAAAGACACATGTGTTATTCGCATTCGTATAGTTAATGTAGACATGTACTATATTTGCATTCATATAGTTAAAAATACACATGTTACTTGTGTATTCACATAATTAAAAACACATATGTTACTCGTGCATTCCTATTGTTAAGAGTACACGTGTGACTAGTACATTTTAATGGCTAAAAACAAACATGTTACCCGTAATTTTGCATGAGACATTATTTTATACTCATATGATTAAGAACACACATTACATGTAAGGAAGATTGCTAATCAGAATATGAGTTTAGGGAAAATTAAGTCATATAAGAGTTGATTTAGGGAAATAAAGGAAGATTTTTGGAGGGAAAAAATATGAGAATAAATGTGTATAATAATATTTTTATGAAATCATGAATGATCATTAAGTATAATAATTATATTCATTCTAATTGAATTATTCATAAATATTCCAGAATGGTAATAGTGATGAATGTTGATTTTAAACATATGTACATGGTGATTAATAGAAATTAATATATAAGAAATGTGCATAATAATAAGATAATAAAATTGATAATCGGAGTATGAGATATTTATAGAATTACTTTCATACAACATCATAACACCGATATTTTACAATTATTACCAACACTTTTTGCTTACAATCTCATGATTCTTTTTCTTCTATCTCATGATTCTTTTTCTTCTTCTTAGGTAACATTACATCATACTTTAATTTTCTTCATTTCTCATTCTATGTTTTTTAATATTCTGATTTTGTGATTTTTGTTAGAGAGATTCATCATTTTCGGGATAATGTGGATGAAAATTTAAAGAATTATTTTTCTTTTTACATAATCAGACCGCAATTTCCTATAGGTAATGGTAATTGCATATGTGCGTAATAGGATAATCTTATAATCTCATGATTCTTTTTCTTCTTCTTAGGTAACATTATATTACATCTTACTTTAATTTCTTCATTTCTCATTCAAAGTTTTTCATTATTCTGACTTTGTGATTTTTGTTACAAAGAGTTCATCATTTTTGGGATAATGTGGATGAGAATTTAAAGAATTATTTTTGTTTTACATAATCAAACAGCATAATAGGATATGAATTATTTTTCCCCCTAAACTCATATATTTTTAATATAAATTAATATGAGAATATTATAATGAATGTGCATAATAATAGTATAATAAAATTGCTAATCAGAATATGATTTTAGGGAAAATGAAGAAATATAAGAATTGATTTAGTGAAAATGAAGAAAGATTTTTGGATGAAAAATGAATATGAGAATATGTGAACATGATTAAGTATTTGGTAGAAAAAATGAAGGATTAATAAATGTGACATACATGTATCATTTTGATGTATGATATGAGAAATGACATGCATGTGTCATTTTGATGTATGATATGAATGTAGATGGTAATGATACAATGTGGGACTATGTAGTTGATGGTTTGATGTATGATATGAATGTAGATGACAATGATACAATGTGAGACTATGCATGGTTGTTGGTGGGAGTGTTTGAGTGAGAAAACTTTGCATGAGAAGATGACATGTGTCCAAAACTAATAATGGAGAACATTTTTTTCTTATAGTATAATAGATTATATGAATGGATGAATATATTAAAGAATTCCAATAAACTAAAGCAGCACTTTCAGATCCAAATGGCCTAAAAAGTATATAAAAATACTGCATCTCAAAAAGGCACAGTTCGGTAAGTAGAAAACTTCATCAATACAGAATCAGGAACAAACAAAACCTTTACTTTAAAGTTCAAGAAGAAAAATGATAACAAGTTAGAGCTTTAACACCAATACAGAAAGTATATGAGGGAAAATTGCTGAGAATCCATATAATAGATAAGGAAGTGTGAATGTTTCTAAGGAAGAAATGTTACATGTGGAGTCCTTCAGTGCCAAAATCCTCTTAGAATATCATCTGTTCATTTCTTATATACTGCCTTGTCCATAATGGTCAAATATTAGATTTGAGAATCGGAGAACATAAAGGTTTTCATCAAGCTCTTCCCAAGATAGTAGAAATTAAGCTGTATCAAAGCAACTCAAATTAAGGAAATTAAGTTAGATGATCATAACAACTCAAATTTTGCACCATTAGCAACATAAATGGTATCAAAGCTAATGAGAAGGCCAAATTTGAAATCAAACCCCACAACCAAACGTAACTCACATGAGCTCTAAGAAACTAATACATGTAAGGTTGAAGCCAAATGTATTACCATGAAATTACTGAATTCAACAAGGTAATAATGTTTAATTCAACAAGGTCTTACAGACTCTTTACATGGAAACTAAGGGAATTATGTTGGCACAAGATAATTACCTTCTTTCTGGCTGTTGATCCAAAATAAGGGAGTAGCCACTGCAACAAGAACAAAAGAAAGGCAACAAATCAATTTAATTACCAACAAGTCCCAAACGTAGCAACAAAATACATGGAAACTAAAACCAATAAACTTAATTACCACACACCTTGATATGACAAAGCCGCAATATGCTCAAACAGCTGAATTATGAATTTAATTGACGTGTGACTCGTTACTTCAATAAAAGTATATATAAAATATTTTATTCAATTTTAAATCACATTCCACCAAAAATCATAATTGCACTCATTTGAATATTTTATCAAACACATTGTGTGCTTCACCATGCATTCCATTTCTCCATAAAAGAAACATATCAAGAATTTATTTAGCCTCAATTTATCAAGAATAAGACTAGGTTCAGTCAGAGGTAATGAGAGAAATCAAGAAAAATGAACTAACCATTGCGCTTCACTCCCAAGTGATTCAATAAAACTTATTCAATTCCTCGTGAACCTTGAATCATGTTGAACATATATCATAAGCACAAACAAGATAAAAAATCATGTTGAACATATTTTCATCTTCCTATATACAAATTTATCCAAGATTGCAAATAATTGAGGGCATGTAATATAATTTATTAAAATATTGAATCACAAATTTGGAAACCGGATTATCGAGAGTACTTTCGCTTTCTAAAGGCTCCTTGAAGTAGCTTTCAAAAGCTACAAGCTATTTTCTAAAAGATACATTATACCTTCAATTTTTGATAGCCTCTAATAGTTTTTTGAGTGACTGAAAAGTGTACAAGTTACCTGAAAAATAATTTTAAATGTTTGTCGAACAGTACAAAAGAATAATAAATAAATTACAAAGCATAAAAAAGTTTAAATTGACGATTAAATATAATTCTTTTTAGGATAAAACTTAGGTAAAGTATCATATGTGCTAATGATATAAGTGACCTATTAGAGGATAACACATGTATATTTTTTGTTACTTTCAAAGTCAAAAAATGCTTTATTGTAAATCTAATAAATGTTTCTTCCTTGAAAGTAACAAAAAAATGTACACGTGTCATCATCTAATAGGTCACTTGTACTACTAGTACCTATGGTACTTTACCTAAGTGTTGTCCTTCTTTTTACTACTTCATCACAATTTGAGTATGTTTCTTACTAAAACAAATATACAAAACAAAATCACTACTTCATCATTATAACAAAAATTTATTCAATAAGACTTGTTTAATAAACATAATATTACATCACATTTTGGATAAACAACATTTTATCATTGGTGGCCAACATATATGGATTTAAGAATCGTCGGTCTAACCACCTCATTACCCGGTTCTCATTTAATAGTGTGTTTCAATATTTTCATTCTCAACTAGCAAGTGATCTGTGCATTAGCACGGGACGGTATTATTTTGTTGTATGATTCAGAACATACATTATATATGCATTCATATGGTTAAGAACACACGTTATTTGTGCATTTGCATGGTTAAAACACATATTAAATGTGCATTAAGATGACACATGTGACCTTAGTAATTTACGGTTTTAATGATTTAGTATGACAACTTCGAAAATAATATTTTAATAGATAGAAATGAAATTTAGTAATAAATGGTCATTGAAATAGAGAAGTTTTAATTATATAGTTCGGTTTTTTTCTCAAAATAATGACGGCCTAAATTATTTAGGATTAAATCTGTTAAAATATTTTAAAGATAATAATGGAAATGAGAAAATAATAATTAAATTTTTAGATTTTTTTAAAATAAAGCAAACATACTAATTTGCATGTAGTGGTTACTATACATTATTTTCCACCTTTAATAACATCATCGATATCACCTATAAGCACCATATTAAATGACAATAAGTGTTTCTATTCTCTTATGTTCACCAGTTTTATTTCTTTCCTAATGGTAGACGGTATTTATTCAAAATAATTATTAATTGTTAGGCGATATTTATTCAACGCTGTCGATATTTATTCACTTATTCGATTACAAATTACAATAATATAACAAAATTTATTGTCATTATTCACCTATGCAGTTTCTATTCCCTTATGAATTTTCCTTTATTGTTAGTTTTCTACTATGTATTTTTATATTTCATTGTTCACATTAATTACTCTTAAATCTCGAGAGTAATTCTATCAAAAACTGTTATTATTTTAATACTAGAAAAGTTTGTCTAGATGTAAAAAGAAAAAAAACAAAAAGTTATAATTTATAACATTTTATTATCTTTAATTAACTTATACGATACATTTGAGAGATAATTAAAAAATTATGGTGTCATTTTTTAATAAATATATAACATATGTAATGATTAATAAATTCAATAAAAATATAAGATAAAAAATTGTATCCATAATATATTTTAATTTGATAACAATAAAGTTTTGTTTTTACCGTAACGTAGACTCAAAGATAAAAGAATATATTAAGTTAACTTCTATGAAAAGTTGCACATCTCTTTTTAGAACAATGAAGAAACATTATATTCTTTACATTTGAATTATTTAAAGACACATAATCAAATATAAAATATGAGGAGGAAACTTAAATGAAATAAACATGTATAGATTGACAATGTTGGAGGTGAATGAAGAAAAAAAAATTGGAGGGAAAAAAATGATTACGGTGATGACACATGTCATGGTTAATGTAGCAAAAACTTAGTTTTTTTTTATAGTATATAGATTACACACAGGTTTAAAAAGTGGAACCTAAAACCAATCTAATGTAGTTATACAGGTATTACGCGTGAATCCTACTCATTACCATCCCAAGCTAATTTGACTTGAGTAGGATTAACAACATTGGTTCACATCTATGGTTAGCCAACCATGGCGTTGAGTCAACATGGGAGAGTTAAGTTGGTTCTTCTTGACAACAAGTTATAAAGTTTTACAAGTTTTAATTAGGTATAAAATGATCGATCATCCAACATAGTAATATCTATGTTTAAGTGTAAAATTTTGCATACAATAAATAATATATTATTTACTATTGTTTATTTGTATAATTTGTGTTTAAGAGTAAACAATAGTTTACATATAAATGGGATAATGTAGTAACAATATAAAAAATTCTTAATTTCTAAGTATATACATATTAGTGTAGAGAATGTTGCCAATATTTTTAACTTTATATATATTTGAGAAGTTTATTTTAGTATATTTTTTTAGAGTTATCATAATTATATTGTTAAAAAATATTTATCTAAATTTTAATATAATTTCATTCTATTCATATGTGACCTACTATTTTTTATGAGAACTCCTAAGATGTGATGTGCACGTATTAGAAACTAGTATTCTTTGGTACTCATCATGGTGCTCATTTGGTATGAACTATTTGAAAACTTGTCATTTTGGATCGGAAACTTCGGATATTTATTTTTATTTTTCTTGCTAGACACATCATAATGCTGAATCCAACTAATAGAATCAGTCTTCATCCTCACATTTTATTTGTTTTTTGGTCTCAACCTCTCATCTTAAAACTTCTGTATCCTCTACTAATGTTAAGTTTGATTATTTGTACCAATTAAATTATATTGACATAAACATGTCTTATATTTTTTCAAAAAATATTGTATCTCATACCAATATTCATATTAATATCATACTCAATTCATGCAATGGGCCACAACTGTCATAGGGAGGCTAAATTATTAATTAAAAAACAGCCATAATTCTAGCATTTAAAAAAAATAAACATCATCATTTGTGTATGAGGAAAATTACAAACTTCCAAAATAAGATGACTAACCTAAATTTATAAATCAATAGATCCATACAAAATATAACACAATCAACCCGTGATCAATGTCAACGTGTATCTAGTTATCTAGAACCTTCCAAAAAAGTGTAATTATAGCAATAACAAAATCACTGCCCAGTGGCTATAAGAGGAGAAATAGAAAATAGAAAATAGAAAATTAGAATTATTCTTTTATATATGGACATGCATAAGAGCCAAGAACATGCCAAGCAGCCCACACCACATGCCCAGAAATCTCGGTCACACAGACATATGCCAAAGCCACGTCGGTCAGGCTGACTCGGCCACGCAGGTCAGCCTGTCTCGGTCAATCCACATCTCTGGCGCATCATAATTAAGTCACGTCGGTCAGGCTGACTCGGTCACGATAGCCAGCCCGCCTCGGTCAGAGGCTAGTCATGCAGGTCAAGCTAGCTCGGTCACGAAGGCCAGCCATTAGCAGAACCAGCGCCAATCCTTGGCACACCAAATCAAGGCCACGCAGGTCAGACTGGCTCGGTCACGTAGGCCAGCCTGACTCACGCAGAAATTACTTGCCACCTAAGCAACCTATTTTCAGCTTGTATCTTTATCTTATCTTTGAGCATATTTAGGCATTATCTTTAGATTAGTTAGGCATTTATTTTCCATATTTGAACACCCCATTAATGTAATCAAGAATATATGAATTGAATACAAATATCAATAAAGATTCAATAGCATTCTTAAAATCCATATGTCAACTTCTCTTCTTCCATCAACTAACTCAATCTTTCTGTGAATGCAGACCTTTTATGTTTATTAGTTTATTATATGAAATATTTAGGTTCATTGTGTACAAGCATTGAACAAAAAAAACTAGTATATTAATTATTATTATTACATTTGGACAAAACAGAAATCGCCCCAATGAACTAGAATTCTGTGAATTAAATTGTGAAAACAATATCCATCATCACATATTATCATGTAGCAATTTTGGCCTTTGAGATCGAATCACCGAATAAGCCAAGTTTGTTTCGAATAAATTAAGAAATCCTTAAAAAAATAAAAGCAGGAAAGATTAGATGGCTATATACTATTATAGTTTAGTGACAAAGATATGAGTAGACAAAAAACGACGACCATGTTCATGGCGTCATTCTCAATATTGACATAGTAACATAATATCGAGAGAATACAATATACATATATTGCCTGAATTTTCTCTGTGTCTAAAAAAATAATGTGGAATAACTTAGTTCAAAGCTAAGGAATTTTTTTTTTAAGAATAAGTATGACATGTCCCAAAAAATTCTTGTCTTCATGTACCAAATCAATCATATTCCACCAAATAATAAAAACAAATTATTTTCTGTTTTTATGATTTTTTTTCCTAGTTAATTGACAATTTTTGATTGAATTAGGATACAATGGGACACCAAATGTTGAGAAAGATGATCTCCATTAATTAGTTGTTTTTAAGAGGTGAAGCCAAATATTGGAAAGGTATTATTGACTATTTTGGTGCCTTTTGGAGAATAAATATAAATGATAACGACAAGTTGGAAAATGCTATATGTGTCGTGTGCCAGCAATCTTTTTATCTCATCGTTTTCTAATGTTAATTACCACTTGGATTATATATATGTTTGTCTTTGTCATTCTTTCATTATCACCTTTATCATCTATCAAATTGAAGCTGTTGGAGATTTGGCCATGGACCACCTTAGGTGAGTATTTGAAAAATTAATTCTAACACTAAGTCAATATCATGAATAGCATGCCATAATTAGAAAGTAGATGGAGTAGTAAATATGGTTATGAGGTAAGATATTTGTTTAGTGACTTCCTCTATTTATACTAATGTGGATGAGGTCAGTAGAGGAAGTCACTAAACACTGATTCCAGACTATACTTGCTCGATTTCCTATAGACCGGTGATATGATGGTAATTAGGCATGCCATCAGACTTATAAGTATGTTTGTTTTTGCTTTCAAGTTGATCAATCCTTTACCTCATAGGTTATTTACTCTTTTAAACTTCCTTTAGGAAAATTTTATGTGTTTTGGTGCAATTGCTCTTGTCTGGTATGGTATGTGCATAGATGATGTTCCGTTTAAAAGGAAGAGTTTAGAGATATTGAATTTATTCACATTGGGCCCAAAACCCAATCCCAATCAGAAGTGAGAAGCCTCACTGATTAATCTTGGCTTAATAGATTTTTTCGGTGTCCAAAACATGAAAACTAACCACTAGAGCATAGGAAAGTATACCCAACAGGCCGAAGAAATGATCAGTATCTTGGTAGATTTTTTGGACTATATGGTTATTTCTCCAAATAAATATTGCTCACAGAAATTGAACTTTTGGTTATCATGAGGATCTAGCTGAAGTTTAGGTAACTAGACCAACGCTTTTGAAATAACTGAAGGAATTAATCGGTTAAAAGAAAATATTGAACATAATTCAGGAGAAGTTAAGGGTTATGCTAGGGTTTCAACTTTGATAAGAGAAAATGTGATGAAACTTCTGCGGCAAGATAAATCAGATTAAAGAGAAGAGAACACAATAAAAAAAGAATTTGAATCTCCATTTAAGAAGAGACAAGGATTACAAAAACAACGTAGTAGTCAGGGAAACCATGGATGAAACCAAAAAAGTAATAACCAAATTAGAGACAAACACTGATGATTAAATAAGAGCTGTGAATTATTTAAAATGAGGAGCAGTTAACAAGAGATTGAAGATAGCTTCAACCCTTTCAATCTTAACTATATATTTCAGAATGGCTCCTTATTGATTCTGATAATGATAATAATCATAATGAAGGAGGAACTAGTGTGGATGATTTATATTCAAGTGAAATACCTAGTCAAAGTAGTGGTGGTTTAAGTCCTCCAAATGATAACATTGACAATGGTAGTGATAGTTGTCAATGAAAAAGTGAAGGCTCATATCATTCTTTTAAAAAAGATGCAACTTTTAGACATGATCAAAATCTCACAAAATAGAAGGGATGAAATTAAAATCCTTAAGTTGATGTAAGTAGTGATAGTAGTAGAGGTGGATCCATAAGTATAAGGCAAAATGCTATGCTGGGTGATTCTTTATCATCTAATATAAGTGTAAATCTTTTCATAATATATGTACTTGGTACATCATTTAGTAGCATCCAAAGAAACAATTCACCATACTATGGCAACACCCACCTATTATTAACAAATTCCAGCCCATCCATATTATCCTCATCAATATTATCAACCTCATAACTTACCAACCTCAATATGGCCAACAACAACAAATGGGAGCTACCAAGAAGTTCAAGAGTTTTTTATTATGTCTTTGGCAGAAATAGACAATAATGATGATGAAAGTGGTGATTAACAGTGTTAAATGGATGAATTTGGATGCTAATGATGGATGAAAAACCATTCATTAATCCATATAAATATTTTTTAAACAAAATTTGAAGCTATCCAATTCATTCATATCTAAACTTAAAGGGTGGATTCCAATCCATCAATGATTACATTTTCATTGATTTGGATGGATGAATATCCAATTTATTTGAATTTCTTATTGGAACTAAAAACATTATTTTAAAAGCTACTATCTCAATATAACATTTTTTTAAATCACCTTTTAAAAAATCATTTTTAAAATCATTTAAAAACACTTTTAAAAATCATATTTTCAAAAAAGTTTAAGGTTCTACAAGCATGCAATGTTTAAGGTTCTACGTGTAAAATATAATTTTATATAGGTAATAATGATTAAATATAAATAGTGGATGATGTAGTGATAATACATAAAACTCATACAATGTGAGTGCGTACATTTTTTTCCTTCTTAAAATAAAATTTTAAAATTAATTATATTCATATGTCCTATAATTGATATCAATTTAATGAAATATTAAAAGTGAGATTGAGAATAATGGAAGTAATTTCTTGAATATTAAATGAAAGTGAAAAACAAAAATCGTCATTTTTAAATTCTTTATTTTTTGGATGGATTAGATATTCATCCAAATTGATATATCCATTGAATATAATTGATGAATTCAAATTCATATATTACTAAATTTATCCATTGGAATTTATCCATTTAAATTCATTGGTTTTAATAGATGGATCTCGATGGATTAAATTTTTAGGATTTGGGTAACTTGTAGATTGTGGATAATTTTATCACCTCTAATGGTGATGAAGTTTATGTTCCAGCATATAATTCTGTCACGTGATGGGGATTGATGAGATAACTACCTTTTGAATTTTGTTTAATATATTTCTATCTTTTAATTTTTTATATTGTAATTATACATGGATAATGTTGTGTAGGGGTAAGCGTAGGTCGGGTTGTAATGGGTTAAGACTTATCCCTATTGGGCCCTAAATACTGGTCGGGTCATTTGTTGAATCTGGAGTCAACCTTAGACCTGAAGTTAACCTGACCCTAAATATTCACAAGGTCAGCCTTTAAACCCGAATCTAGACCCGATTAAATATAATGTATACTCATTTTAAACAAAGTCTTCCAAATATTATTTATTATTGTAAATATGTAATTTAACATATATAATAATATATTATTAAACATGTATTTATGATGAAAAAGTTATAGAATCAATGATACTTTACTCTAGTATCATTACTCTGTATACATTTAAATAGAGACACATACAAACATCATGAGTGAGTGACCATGAGACCGGTTGAGATGAATCATGATTGGTCCTTAGTCGGCCCTAAATATTGGTTGAGTCTAATTTTTGAATTCAAACTCAACCCTAAACCCGATGAAACCCTACCCTATTCATATCCGACCATGATTGAGCCATATCGAGTGAGCGGGGAGGATGGGGTCCTGCTCACCCCTAATGTTGTTTACTAATGACCTAGGGAGGTACTAAAAAATATGTATGGTGGAATGAACTCTATTCACTTATTAATCAAATTTCTTTACATATTAGATATCTCATAATTAAAAACATATAAACCAAAAGCTAACTTATTCTCAATTTTACAATAAAATAGATAATTTTCATGTTATTTGTGAAATATTGTCAAAATAACACACAGTAGTGTCCATAATCAACATTGCAATATCTATCATACACAATGCAACTAAAACAGTTATTTTAAACATTGCCAAACACTCTCCATTACCCATCATGTACCTTGTATAGCAAGAGATGTTCACTTCATGAATAAGAGACATGTAGGGATGGAAAAAATACTCAACCCTTAGTTACCCGTCCAAATACCTGTAATGAGTACCCGTAAAAATAGCTTATGAGTGAGAACGATCATCATGATATTCATCCCACAGATATCCACATATATATTTTAATTAAATATTTTATACTTATTATTATTATTTTAACATTATATTTGTTTATTTTAATATTATTTCATAATAAAGTTTAGTCATGTGAATAATTAAAATTAAAAATACATTGGGTATCCGTGGATACCCGCTATCCACATGGGTACTGGTAAATAGTCTGAGTATGGACACGGGTATGCACTATCCATACCCGTCCCACCCATTACCATCCCA